GGGCAGTTAAGTGTGGAGATGCTGAGGTCTTTGCAATGGGAAGGATGAAAATTATTCCTGCTTTTCAACACCTAGGTACTTTTAAATGCAATTAGGGAGAGACTGGTTTCCTTTATATCATTAGTTCATGCTCCTCTGTACATGAAGTTCTTGAACTCTTGGGAAAAGAAATTTTTTGTTTGTGGAGTTTTGCATATACACTGTAGTCACTGAAGAGCATCAGAAATGCCATGAAGTTCTCATATGCTTTCCTGTATTTGAAAGATCTCTGAATATGAAATAGTCTTGGAGAAATTCTTGTTGAGTAATGACTAACTATATTTTCTGTCTAAAATCAAAATATGCTTGTGGATTTTTGCATTTGTAATGGGATATTGGTATTGCTAGAACCTGTGGTCTAAGAAAACTAAACAGCAGAGTGATGTGGCTGCAGTTAAAACACCGCTGCTGATAATATCTTTGAATCACAAAAGCATTTGTTTCAGTTTCCTTATTTGAAAATAGTTTTTTCTGCCCAGCTGTGTTTCAGCAATGTTATAAGCATTAGCAAATGTTTATATTTAAGCTTTGAAAATGTCCTATGAAAGCTTCTGTTTATAGTAATCACTGTAATAGAACCTGACATCTCCCCTGAAGAATGCAAATTATGCTCTTTGGCATTGATCCCAATGTATATCAACATGTATACATTCTCCCAGTCCTGAACACCACGCTTGTATGTTCATGGCACTTTGTGTTGCTGTGGCCATTCAGCATAGTCCAGCTGTAAGTCTAACCATGTCTTTCTCTTGGAACTTAGCTGGAGTTTGGCGTTGGAAAAGTGCAGATGAACTTCCTTCATTTACTGAGCTCAGAAGCAACCCACAGCATCACAGTTCATTGTCTGAACACGCCACTGTGGGGATTAAATAAAGCAGGTGGCCGGAAGACATCAGTTACCTTCAAAGGATGGAACGGTCAAATATTTAAAGCAAATACGCTACTTGAACCGAAGGTCCTTATGGACGAATGCATGGTAAATAGGTTTTAACACTAGCATTATTAAAACAGTACTGGAGTTACTGTGTAGACATTATTAACTTTCTGCAGATAAATAACAATCATTTAGATTCACACCCCTTAAAGCTTGCTTCTTTACCTAGTTCTGCATATGCCAGCCTTTTGATACTGAATTCAACATCTATTCAGAGGTAAAACAAATTGCAGTGATACAGAGTATCTATACTTGCTGTTTGCATTGTGTCTCGTATTTTGAGACTGTATGAAGACACTGGAGAGGTATCAGCACAGAAATAAGGAGGTCCACCAGGAAAATTTAGAAACAGTTACTGTCAAAATGAAAATTCAGGCTTTAGTAAGAGTTCTGTTGAGATTATTTAACACAAAATTTCAGGTTCAAACAGACTGGATATTATTTTTTGAACAACTAAATGCCTTTAAATTCACTGACTATGAGTCAGTTGTTTGATTATTTCAGAAAATAATAATGAGTGGAAATTGAGTCCATGGCTAACTAAAATATTGTATTTTTGGAAATTTTTAGGAAAACTTGGAAGAGCTTATTAATGTTCAAATGTTCAGATTACTCACCAAGATTTGAGACATTTGGTAAAAGTCGTGGGAGAACACTGTGAAATATAGCAACCAAGCATCTTACACTTTCAGTATTTTATAGCTCTACTTTCATTTGCAATAACAAAAGGCATGAGACTGGTTCAATATTGATACAGGGGTGAGATTTTTAATCTCAAAACAGAAAGTGGCTTTATTGAGGCACTTCAAAGCCGTTATGCTTGGAGCCTTTATTAGCAGATGCTAATTAGATGCTCTAGCCTGTGTCATGCCGATAAAGTATGGCCATTGGAGCCTCTTCTCCCCACCTTCCAGTCTGTTTGGGACTGTTTTATTCCCTGAGAAAAATTAGGGCACACTGAGATGGCTATTGAGAAGTGCCATTTTTCTGTGAGATTCTACAAGGTCTGTTACTCTTTCTGTGTACTGTACAAGTCTGCTGCAGAATCTGACACATTCCCCTCTCTGTAGGGGTTCCATTTTTCAGTGGTATACACTGTACTTGATGGTTTTTTAAGAATGGATTGATTGCAACCATCAAGGCACTCCCAGCCTCAGGCACTGTTATAATACTATTTTATCATTATTATGAGGTATCAATTTTTACTGAAATTTTTTTTTTAAGGATTAGAGTAAACAACATAAAGCTCATGGCAAAAATGCATGTTTATTTTTCAAGGGCCTACAGAGTCATTCAAGTGCCTGTAGAGTTGATAACCTGACACCTGCTGTTCAGATTTGGGGGTGAATTTAGAATCTGTGTGAGACACTTTGCTTGCAAAGGTGTTCTGCTCTGAGACATGTTGCACTGTGTCTGCATCCACTCCAACTGGATTCTGGGCTCAGCTGTTTTCCAGCTTCAGCTTTGCCCAGAGTGCCCATGGTATTGCAAGGGAGAAATGGCATTTGTTAGATTAGATTCTATAGGAATTAGTTTCTATAGGAATTGCTAGAAGAAAAAATGTTTCTGTGCACTACTTCTCTTCCTCTCTATAAGCACAATTTTCATTTGTGTTTTGAAGGACATCTTTTTTATGAATCTAATATTCTTCTTCCATGTGTTGCAGATTGAAGATGGCAGCTGGCGTAAAACACAGTTCTTTTTTCACACTCAGGACACTAGTCAGCTTCCAGTGGTTCAAGTTAATGCACTTCCTCACCTCAAACCAGGACAGCAGCACTTCGTAGAAAGTGGTTCAGTGTGCTTCCTTTAAGGTTTCTGTCCTGGTTTTTTTTCATCAACATGGAGGTTCTGCACAGATTGAATGCAAAAGTAATGATCCATTACAGGCAAAATGACTAGGAAACTAAGAATCATTTTAAGTACTGTTGGTTAAAGAACCTCAGGAAGAAAAAGACTTCCTCCTTAGGAGAAATAGCATTGAAAAATAAAAGAAAGAGAGAAAAGACTGCAACAATTTTCTTAAAGTATTTAAAAATAAATTTCTTGGTGCTTTCTTGCATTATTTCCTGGAATGGAGTATCTGAACGTGGATTTTTTTCAGGACATCAAATACTCTTAACAATTTCTTTAACACCACTGCAAAAAAATCATCCTGAGAAAAGCTGGAGGCATATGATCCTAAGGGAGCACTATATGCTAATGCTCCTAAATGTGCAATAGCTTATATATGAAAAGTGAATCATGCCACAGTACAGTACGTCTTCTTTTCTTAAACATTGTTTTATTCTAGTCCTTTGTGGACACATACATCTGAACAGATGGCACACTACCTCTTCTGTGTTTCCTCTCCGTGTTGCCTTGGTGCTTTTCATAACACAAGGTGCTTGTGGCCTTAGCAGAGATTATTTGAGTCCCTTTTCTTTCAGACTGTATGTGCTGGTTACATCAGGATATGTTTCTGTTGTAAAGGTACTTATTTTAAATTGTTGGTCACATACTTCACTACAATGAAAACATTATTTATGTGGATTTCTTGTTTAAAATATTTTTGTGTACTATTTTGGAAAATGGTATATAGGACAGCATATTGTATATGATGCATATATTCAGAACAGTTTACTTTACAGCCATTGTAAAAATTCTTGTAGAAGAGCTACCTAAAGTAGTTTTGAGTTTTAGATTCTGTATTTCAGTTAACATTGCTAATGCCAAAGCCATCTTCAGATGATACATTCTGTATATATTTTGTAACTTCTGAAAAAATCTACTACAGCGTATCCTTTGAATGGCTGCTGTTAAACTACAAACAGCATTTCATCCTCTTAGAAATTCCATTTTATTGCAAAGTTATCAGATAATTTTGGGGTTTTTTAATTAATTCTAAAATGTTCAACCAAATTTATTTAGTAAAAAAAGAACAATTTTAACATTAGCAAAAGCACTCTTTATATTGATATGCCTCTACGTATTATCAAATGAAAGCGTGCTCAGGAGTACATGGCAGGGTGATGCCAGACTGTAGAGGGGAGCAGGGGAGTGTTCGAACAACTTGTCTGCTCGATCTTCAGGAAACCACACTTACCAAAGTATAATAAAATAAGCTTCCAAGCTATCTATTTGTCTTTTACTATTCTGTTTCGTATTGTGTAGGTCATTTTTAGTAAGGATGAAAATCCTCTGGAAGGGCACTTGTTAGGTGGCAGTACTTGTCTTCCCAAGAGGAAATGCATATTCTCTATGCCATGGCACACTACCAGGGGGACAGTGTTTGCTCTTACAAGGTAACATACATGTACATCCCATTTCATATTTTGTATTGAAGCATCAGTTTTGACCACTTTGAGAAAATCTGTTAAAACCAAAGACAAAACAAGATCACAGAGTGATGATAAAGGTTAGAGAAACTGTCTAACTTTTTGCATTTTCAAGATCAAAACACTGATATTAGGACTTGACATTTGCTCTTAGTTTGGCTATCAAAACACTGATATTAGGACTTGACATTTGCTCTTAGTTTGGCTTTGGAGCTGATGTTGTGACAAATATTTGGGGTGTTTTTTATTATTATAATCTTTTGGAAAATGTTCAGCTTCATGTATATTTTTATTCATCTCACTGTACTATTTTTGGAAGTTCTACATCTCGGAAACTATCTATTTTAAAATCAAGGAGCTTAAAGCTTTAGAAGGCTGCTCGGATGTGTGTTTCTGTAGTTGAGGCAAAAATGCTCATCCCGCGCAGACAGATGGAACGCCGAGCTGGAGCAGTTGGACAGGTAACGGTGAACCGCGTTCCCGGAGTTGGGAAGCGCCGCAACCGCGTGGCGAAACCGCCCGTTCGGCGGTGCGCTGGTGTGCGGCGCCGTGCGTGTTTCGGAAAGCCTCCCGCGTGTTTCGGAAAGCCTCCGGCGCTGGGACGTGCGTCCCGCTCCCTCAGAGGGAGCGGGTGCCGGGAGCGGCCGCCAGGCGGCGCCGCCGCGCGAGGAGCGTGCGGTGGCTCCGCCCGGCCCGTGGGGCCGCGCGCGGGGTCGGTGGCGCGGCCATGGCGGATCGGGACGGGGCCGGCACGGGCAGCGCCCCGCGGGCCGCGGGCGGCGGGAAGATGTCCCTGCACAGGTAGGGGAGCGCCCTCCTCGCGGCCGCCGGAGGGAAAAGGCAGCGCCGGACCGACACGGCGGCGATCCTGTGCCCCGCAGCCTCCGCGCCCTCTCGTTTCCCCATAGCGGGCGGAGGGCCCGAGCGCTGCCCCCAGGAGCTGCTCCAGGGCGCGCCCGGCACAGCTCTCTCTGAACCACTGAGGTGCGGCCGGCACTGCAGAGATACTGCAAGAACGGGAAAAGGAGGCCTTGCTCAGAGTAATTCACCGTTTCTGCTTTGCAGTGTGTGAAGCGCTTTTTTTCCGGTTCTTATAGCACTTTGTGCTGCCGGTATACAAATCCATCAGCTCGTCAGGGGGTGATATTGCTGAGCTTGTCCTTCAGACCCCCACTGCCAGCGGGCAGCAAGCACGTGGTGGGGAGAGGGAGAGAAATGGCTTGAGGCTGACACTTTGCCTCTAGCCGTTGAAAATGGTGGCTTTGTACCATTCTGGAAAACTTTACTGACGTGCAGGAAGGGTTATTTCTCTCCCGTGCATGTCAGAGTTAAAATAAATGAAAAGTGACGATTATTTCAGTTACTACGTAAAGAATTTTTTTCTAAGAATGGTAGAAACATCACTTGCAATAGCCTAGTTAAAAAGCATAAGATCATATTTCTAGAGGAATTTTTTTTTACTGATATAATATTTGTTAGCTGTATTCATAAGACTTACACATTATGCCTGAAAGGTTCCCTGACTTTAGGGTTTGCACTTCTGAACAGAAGCCAGAAGTTGTTTGCCTGACCATGTTGTCATGGTCTTTCTGTTTCAGCGAAAAAAAATGGGATGCGTTGTTCAGGCTTTAATGTGAATCCTTGACATTTATTTTCCACTTGCCTAAAACTGGGAGTATTATAAGCCAGCATGGTACAGTGCACATTACAGGTGATGTGAACGGAGAAAAGCACTGATACAACCGGGCCACAAAGAGTAAACTGCTGAAGGCTTGCTGTGGTTCCAGCTCTGAGTTAGCATGGGTTGGTTTTTTTTTCTTCCAGGTACAGCACTGTGTTTTAATATGTATATGTTTGGAGATATTCCTTGTAGCTTATGTTGTTTTGTCTGCCACCTTTTCTAATCTAGGGCATTTGTATTTTCTCTTTTCTCTTTTTTCTTTCAAGGTGCAGATAGCTTTTCCTGAAAATGCCATGGATGGCCTAGTACCTGGTTGTTGAGCAGGCACCTTTTTAGGCCAGTCAGGCACAAAGATGCTGCTTTATTAAGACATGTTTTTTGCTTCTTTCAGATGTGAAACCTGTAGCAAAGAAGAAGCTAAATACAGATGTCCACGATGCATGAAATATTCGTGCAGGTATCTGTTATCTGAATTAAACTGTTTGGGTTATTTTCTCCATTATGTGCTAAACATGTTTATCTTTTCCTTTTGTCGTTTCAGTCTGTTGTGTGTAAAGAAACATAAGCTTGCACTGAGCTGTAACGGAGTCAGGGATAAAACAGCATTTGTCTCTGTAAATGAATTTACTGACTTGAACCTTTTGAGTGGTAAGAATGCACCTTGTACTTTTTAAAATTCTTTGATTTTACTAGGTTAGCACTACATTTTCCCTTGTTCTGTTTTTATCTTCAGATTATCGTTTCCTGGAAGATGTAGGAAGGACAGCTGATGCTGCTGCTCGACATTGTACTGTGCATAGTCCAGCAGCAAAAAGACTTGTAAGTTTTTAATTAGCCACTTGGTCTTTTAGAGTTAGGGTTGACTATGTTTGAATTTCCACTGAGGCAGTCCCAGTCCAGATTTCAGAGCTGATACCTCTCCTACAAAGGTATTGCCCTGGATTTTAGAGCCAGACATCAAAAAAGTCTCTAGGTTTATGCAATAATAGTATTGATGGCTGCATCCAGTTGCTTAGAAGAATTGCTAACTATGTACATTCTTAAAATTGATGCATGATCACTGTTACTGTTGGAGAATAGATGTGTGTTAAGAAAGCCTGAATGTTTCCTTCCACCTCCACAATGTTTCTGAATTTTTAAGTACAAAATTCCAAGGTAGGCAATGGATTTATTTATTGCCTAAAAATTATTTTATGCTTCCCTATGTGCTAAATGAAGGCACGTAGTGTTCTTCAAAGAACAAGTCTACACAACTATGACTTAAAAACCAGCCTTCTAAGGGGGCTTTTGTTGAAGGGGGGTTTTGTTGAAGCTCTTTCAACAACCAATCAAACAAGCAAACATACCCCCCAAAGAAACAAACAACAAAAGAACACAATCAAATCTGATACAAAATATTTTGACTTGTTGATATGTCACAAAAAGGCATCAGGGCCATTTTGTTTTCCAGTCTTGTGAAGATGTCTTTAAATATAGCACTGAACTCAGAGAGAACTCATGTTGATGACAAAAATAAATTCAGAAGACTCCAGCTTTCCCTCAGGCTGGAGTCATACTCTGTGTGTGTGCTTGGTACTATGATGTCCTGAAAACACGGGCTGAAGATTGTAAGACAGGTAGCAGTTTTTGGGGTGTGGTACTGGGTATGTTTGTAGGATGATACCCATAGTGCTACCTTCAAGTTAGAATTTGTCAGTGTCTGAGATGGTGCTTGTGTATCCCTTTTGCTAATGGGGTTGTAGCCCAAAAAGCAGCCACATGGTGGTATTATACCTAAGAGAGCTGCCTGTAACTTTCATGATATGTTAAAGAACTTTTACTATGAAGAGCCCATTGGTGTCTTCTTTTTTAATCATAGAAAAACTGCTCCTGAAAATGTTTCAGAGAGTTTCTAGGCTTACTTTATTAACTTTTTCATTCATTGTGGGGTTTTTTAAATTCAGAGTATTATATTGAATATGGCCTTTTCCACAGATTTCTGATAATTCCTGTCAGCTTTTTATTTTTTAAGTTTCAAGTTTTTAATATATTATTCAGAGATTTTTAAACAGTGTTTTTATGTTTTGCCAGTTACAGTGCTTGAGAAACAAAGCTCGAGGGTGTAATATTGAGCTGAAAACGCTGCCTGTGGGATTTACAAAAAGAAAAGAAAATTCAACCACGTTCAATTCCACGTGAGTCTTTGGTTGGTTACAGTCAGCAATGTTTTGTTTTCGCTAAGCATATAATGATGAGAATTTGACTTCATACCAATACACTTGCTTTTAAAATCTATTAGATACACGTTCTTTTTTGCAAAAACTATGTAGAGTTAATATTTCATACTTCAGGTTTTCATTTTTTATGCTCTTTGAACTCACTTTAACAGCTTACATAATTCATGCTTTATTTTGAAAAATGCCAACATTGTGTAACAGTAGGTGTGTTTTTTTCTTTTAATTAATTTTGAGTTTTGTTGCTGGAAAAAGAAAATCCTTTTTCAAAGTTTTATAATAGAGGATTGATGCAGAAGGCTTGCACAAATTCCTTTCTCTGAAAAGGCTGACTTCAAATCCGAAGAGGTGCTTCCAATACAGGTCTGTGTTGCATACTGTGATGGGAGTTGCTGTGCTGGATGATGTGAATGTTTGGTACAGCACAGCTTAGACAAGTGCAGACAGTCAGATATGAATTCAGGAACAAGGCTTAGGAGACTTTAAATATTCTTCCCTTTATCTAGTCTGTGGGTTTTCTCTGATATCTAGAATTTGTATTTTAAGGTATTTTCACAGTAAAAATAAAATAAATTGTGAAGTATTTTATTGTGACAGCAATCAGGTCTAGAGTTCAGCTCAGTGGTATACTGGGGCAAATATAAATGCCTTCTGAGCTTCTCACAGCAGTGAGCTGTGCTGGATTCCCCCGATGGCTCCTTCACTTGTTTTGTTCATGGTCTCAGTTTTGGTGGCAAATTGTGTTTTCAGGATGTATTTTTCCCTCTCTTCTGGGAGCTGTGTGCTCTGAGGTGTCAGGCACTGCCTGGCCACCAGAGGTCTGTCTCTGACAGAGTAATAACCACCTGGAAACTTTTTAACAGATCCACCTGTATTGTTTGGGCTGTTCTGGGCCAAAAGCACAGGGTATGGGTTTTGTAGGTATATTAGTTTTCAGCAGAACATTAAGTGTAAAATAGATGTAGAAGTGTAACCTTTTAAAATTACATATTTTATTGGTTCTGCTAGAGAAAACCCAGGGTGAACCAGTGAAAAGAAAGGAAATCTGAGGTGTTTTTTCCTCTCTCTACCCCAAATTAATAACTCTCTGAGGCTCTCCCATCAGAACAGATCAGGTTGTAGTCCCAAACCTTGCAGAGGTTGTCTCCCTCTGCACTGGCTTTCTCTTCCTTTGCTGCATGCTCTACATTTTACAGATATCTCTTACTAGTCTCCTGCTGTTGTAATATCTCTGGCTTAGAGCTGAGTTTCACTTTCATGGGTAGTTTCCTTAATGTTATGGATAAAACAACATAAACACCCTTAACAAGTACAGAGTAAGGAACTGTCTTTCAAGAGCAAGTGCAGGAAGCCCAGGGATGCTGCATCCAGTAGCCAAGAGGACAGAAGAATGGAAAGAGCACAAATACGGGGAGGGCTGACATTTTTGGGAAGACCCTGGGCATGATACAGTGCTGTACTGGCAGAAATTTGCCTTCATGTACCGTGGTTCTTTCCTCTAGAAAGCCCTTTTGGGTACACACTGAAGTGTAGCTTTCATTGGGAACAAACTTTGAGCAGTGATGCTTCCATGTGTATCGTGTGCTTTTTGTTGTTTAACACAAGCAGATTTAAAAATGGGGTAAGGAAGGTGACTTCTTGGCAAATAGGTATGGAAATATTTCACAGAGTGGGAGAATGCCTTACTGGTTTTTATCAGTCATAAAGTCCTGGGATACTTTTGTTGTTGCCTTTCTGGGGCTTTCACATCCCACCAGAAAGAACATGATAACATTCTCTGTTCTGAAGAGGATAGGAAGTAACTGTTTTTTTCCTGTAGAGGCTGTCCAAGGGTATGGAATATGCTCAGTGAATATTACACAACGGGTACATTTCCTCTCTATTGCTGCTACTGTTGCCCACGCAACAATGGGCTGTTTGAATTCGACGATGCAGATTAAAAATTATCCTGTGTTTTTTGGAGGTTCTTTTTTGGTTTTTTTGGTTGTTGGTTTTGTTTTTTTTTAATTGGCCTGTTCTGCTAACTTCCCTTAAATGGATTCCGGAGGAATCAAGTTTGATCAAACCAGTGAATATCAGGCATTTCACACCTGTCCCACGTGACTTCGTGACACCCACAACCTTTTGTTGAATATTACATTCAAATTGGGTAAAGCTGTGCAAATAGTCACATGTCAGTTATATGAGCTCAGGGCCTGGTGTGTCCCTCTTCTATAGATCTGAACCTCTTCTCATGCCGTTTGTCAGTTGAGATTTGTAGAACGGTTGCTCCGGAGGATAGAAGTTGGAAACTGCTCAACATATGTGCGTGAAAAACTGAGAACAGTCTTCTCTGATGTCATCTTCACGCTCTCCCTGCGAGCCAACTGTTGGGCTGTACAAGGCAGGAATGAGAGTAATCCGAAACTAGGAAGTACAAGATGTATTCTTGTGTCATCCCTTGCTCGTGCCAGCTCTGGAGGACAGATCAGTGTTGTTTCAATGTGTTAACCAGCCTCTTCATTTCCTGGTTTCCATTAGTTTGTTTGCTAAATTTGATGTTGTGAAAGCATACGTGTCAATGCTGGGCAACACATGGATTAGACTAACTTGTGATATTGAATACCTAGATAATGGAAGGTCATTAGAAAGTAGAGTCTGAGTCCAGTTTGTGAACTCATGGTACATCTGACTTATTATTCATAAATTATTTTTCATGTGCTACTTCATCCTACTTTCCCTGTGGTGCCCTTATTTTCCAATAGAAAGGAAAGTTCCTCACTGGATGCTTTCTGCCATGGAGTTGATGAGGTGACCTGCTGCGATGGAGGCCTTTGGGAAAGGGTGGAGATTGTGGCCAGGCTGGGACAAGGCCTGGAGGAGCAACTGGGAAGCTCTAGCCAGCAGGTGATAGAGGAAGAGTGGAGGGAGCTTGCAACTCCATGGCTCCTGGTTCCCTGGCAGGAGATGATGATGGCAGTAGTGAGAGACTGAAATGGAGCAGTGCAGCTCCCTCAGCTCTGCAGCTTGTGCTGCCCTGCTCCGACCCTCCCTCCTGCTTGCACTGTCATAGGAATCTATACCCAGCTTCCTACCTGCTCCATTCACAGCATCTCCCAGACAAAATCGTTTTCACCTCTCCTCCCTGCCAAGAGGGATGAGAGGACTACAAGTCTCCTCCCTGGTGGAAGGCATGCCTGCAGCTTGAGAGCATTTGGTCAGAGGATATGTGTGGGAAAAGGAGGAAGCTTTTGCATTCTCTCTCTCCTTTGATTTAATTGTGAGAACAAAATATAGTGTGGAGATCAGTTAAGAGAACATTAGTGTTACAGAAGCTACACCTAAAAGTCCTAAACTCTGATCTTAACTTAGATAGGAATAATTAAAATAAATTGTTTGAAGTGTTGATGATCTTGAGAATTTAACAAGGAGATTTCTGAGCTGGGTTTTGGCCTAATATTACACCGATGGAGCTGTTAAACTTGAATTTATTTGTTACTTAGTACATAGTTTTGCTTGTGTTCTTGGATCCACTAAAGTTCTCAGGCAAAGGAATGCTACTCTGGGGTGGTCAGAGAGCAGGATGTTCTGGCATTTCAGTGAATCAATAGCTTTTCAGGACATCCCCATGTGAAGACAAGTACTGAACTGAATTCTCTACCTGAGAATTAGTTTCTTCTGGTTTTTTGCAACTGAAATGTGTCATTTTCACAGTGAATCTGGTGGTAGTTTTGTTTATTTGCGTAAGTAAAGAGGATGGTAGTTTTATTCTTTAAAGATTATTACAGTTTGGGTTACTCTGCCTTGACAGTGTCCCTTTGATTTACACAGGGCTCTCAGTTCAAGCCTGATATGTTTGATTATTGCAGCACACATGGTTAGTAACACCCCTGCTGTTGTGAGGTCCCCTGATAGAAGACCGTATGTGTTACAGAGGAAGTGCACTTCAGTGTCTTCATTGATTGTCTGGCTGTTTACTGTAACTAGGAAACATACAAACTTTCAGTAGAAATATTTCACTTTTACTTTGTATATTTCAAATCCAGGAATTAGCTTGATGAAGTTTCAAGAAGACAGAGACATCCTCTCTTTTGTGCCACTATTAGAAGTGCAACAAAGTCAATTTGGCATTAGGAACGCAGAGTTTCAGGGGACCAGGGGAGATGAAATCACATCTCTGCGTGTTCTCTTAATTTAATTTTTTAAAAGAATCTCTTCTCGTACTTGGGCTGAATCTTCATTGCTTAAGAAAGTTGAGGAAGGCAATATTATCCAAAAGTATGCATACTGAACACCCAGTACTTCTATTAAACTTCAGTGTAATATGTGAGAGTACTGAGTATTGTCAGATGAAAGGATAACTGGTCCGTCATTAAACTTCTTCATATCCTTTTAATCTCTTTTATGAGTTCAAAATGACACAGACAGGAAGTACTGCAGTATTCACGCTTTGATGCAAGATGTCCTATATACTGTTTTTCAGATATTTTAAGAATATTAGTTGCTAGATAGAAGCAAAATCACCAGTGAATCACTATCGTTGACAAGCTGGCAGTGAAGTAGTTCTGCAGAGCAAGAACTGCAGTTGGTATCTTAAGATGTGAGGAATTTGAAATTTTTGTCAATGTATGTTTTAGTTTGCATACATATGTACACACACTTAAAAAGGTTATATATGTATAAAATCTTCTACTGCATTCTAGGCAAAACTGGGAGGAAATGTTCAGAGGAAATTTAAATAAGAAAATTAAGCTTTATGAGATATCTCATAAATGTTTTAAGAACTGTGTAAATATTAAAAACTTCTAAAAATCTGCCAAGACACTTAACAGGTATGTCCAAATCCTTACTAGATCTGTCCTCTAATGCCCAGTAGCTGTTCTGCCTATACCTGCAGTACTTTGAGCATCTTCCCAGATACTGCAATAACTGTAAAAGGTGATGAGGATTTTTGCAGTTGTTCTGAAAGCCAGCTGGAGGGAACAGCCGTGTTGTATATACTGGTGCTGTCTTTGTAACATCAGAAATAAAAATCTTTCCATCGTTACTGTGAAGAATTTTAAAGTCATTTACATGTAGTTCTGTGAAAACTACAGTAGATTATAGAAAATGAGTTTTTGGAAGTTTTAACAGAATTGAAAGGTTAATAGTTACTTTGCTTTAGAAGAGCAGTGGTTGCAAAACAGCCCGTGCAGTTCTGAACATATTTTGCAGCTACATCTCATGCAAGGAAAGAGGTACTTGGCTCCTCTTTTTCCCTCTGATCAGTTTCCATGCTTCTGAAGTAGCCAGAATAGGATGTGAAGCCAAGCAATGCAGGGATGGGCTGTGATGCTGCTTTTACTGACATCAGCGATGTGCTTGTGCCTCATCCAGATCTCTGGTGTTTGGTAGTTTTATAGTCAGTGTCTTGGTATCCAAAAAACCATGGAGGGGCATTCCATGGCAGCAGAGCAGCATAGAAGACTTCATGGAGTGAGCTGTTACTCAACTGCAGATGACTTACTCAATTACGCATTTTCATTTAGAAAATGAACATAGTGCATGTCTCTTGTATTTGAAGGAAATACTACCCCAGTGAACCATAATGGAAAATTAGGTCAGTGAGATCTGGAGCCAGGATATCTAACTTTAATCAGAACTTGTTGTGAGGTAGCTTTGATAGCATCTACAGTTGACATCAAGTTCTCTAACTGGGCAGAGATCACTGATGGTGAGGGATGCTTCACTTCAATAACAGGCACCCAGCAGAGACTTCACTGTACAGTGAAGAGGCTGTTCTAGTTCTAAGCTTCTTTTTGTCTTGCCTAGTTCTACCATGTTCTTAATCTGTCTTGCCTATTTCTGCTTGCCATTTACTTCCATTTGAAGAGAAATGAAGTCATTAACTGCAGTTCGTGTTAGCTTGCTGAAAAGAAAAATCAACATTTTTGTTTTTCCAAAGTGAAACTTTTGACAAGGAATGAGTTTTTTCACTTCAGCTTCCCTGATTCATAGCACTTTCTGTGAACTATTCCATAGACCAGATTGTGCCTGGAAGGGGGAGGGAGGGTGGAAGTCTGAAAAGAACCCTCTTAAGCTGATTTTACAGCTGCAGTGATGAACTGAGTCTGCCTCAGTGAGCCCACAGGGAACCAGTCTTGCATGTGAAATGAGAATGTGCTTTGTGACAACTGTTCCCACTGACACATGAAGAGTGTGCCTAACAACAGGTAGCTAGAAGTACTTTTCTGGAGCATTTCTTTTTTCAAGTGCCTGTGTTAGAGACAGCCCTCTTGGCCACATACGTGTTTCTGTGAGCTGTGTCACAGTTTGTCTGTTTCCTCTTGGGAGAGGAAGATCTGCAGTACTCACATTGCTTTGGCTGTCTTGGTTTAAAAATTTGACAGAAAGTCTGTATCGCAGTAAGGGTGGGTCACTTAGAGTAGATAAATATGACCTGTTTGAAAAAATTGTGGAACATGAAAAAGTGCTAGCAAGCCTCACTAATATATATTCTTTTAATAACTAAATTAACAGAACAAAACCCTCATCTAGCAGTCCTTAAAGGCATTTTAATAAATGTGCCCATCATTAATGTGTCCTACAGCTAATGATGGTGACCCTGTTTCTGTGTCTAAAGCTTACTAACTTTTACCTAAAGTCTGCCTGGAAAGTTCTTTGAAATAATACCATTCCATGTTAAATGGCAGATATTAACATGTCTGAGAGAAATCACAAGCTTGTTAATCACAGGTGAGCTGAACTGGTTACATAACCCTATTGATATTCCAGTTTGCTCTGCATGTGTGGTAGTGTTGATGCTCCCTTTAGCTGTCAAGATAAGAATTGCAAAACCTTGTTTCACTTATCTTGTAAAAACTTCCAAAATTCCACTCACTAATTTTGAGTTATTTCAGAACCTTTTGCAGTTTGGTACTTTAAGGCAGTATCATACTAACATGCAAAATTCATGGGGCCAGATACTGTGCCAGCTTCTGGGTATATATACTATGTAATTAAGAATGTTTCCTGTGTTATCCTTCAGCTCTGGTTGTACAGTCCTCTTACCTCTTTCAGATCTGATGGGCTCTTAGTTTCACCTCCTCATTTAAGGAAGGCATTCTCATTCTCAGCTTTAACAAACATGAGCAGAGAGAAGGGAAGAATCACAAGGCCTGATGCACAATTCTGCTGAGGCACATGTTGCTTTGGGGACCTTGGCCTTCATTAGTTCTTTGTAGTCTAATTATTAGCTTCTTGGAGCTAGGGTTCCAGCTTGCTCTTTTTTTGGTAACCTTCTGACTGTACTTATACTCCAGGAAGTATAAGTTCAGCTGTAAAGCTCAGTTTTCTCCTAGGAATAACTAGGTAAGGGATTGATTATTTATTTGGTAAGAGCACTTCGTAACAAGTGCTTGCATTTAAAAATTGATATCATACTTAATTAAACTTAGCAGCTGAGTCTACTGTTTTGCTACTGGATGCACGTACACTTGTCTCTGCAGCCAGCTAGAACCTGCTGGATAACGTTTCATCTGCCTGATAAACAAATAACACAACGTGTTGGAACAACACTGTGTTTACTTTTAATTGTAGTACCAGAATCTTTGCATAACTGATTGTGATTATTCTGGATACAATGATTTATTGGTCTTAAATAGTGTTGAAAAAAATAGTTAAAAAAAAAGGCAGGGAGAATTACCATTAGATGTTCCTATGCTTCACATAGATGTTTGGCCTCTGATTTCTAAATTTGCTGTTTGTCATGTAAAATTCTGATCCAGAGCAAAGGGCCATGAACCTTTTAGACTGTGCTTTCTCTTAGGGGATTGTTTTAGAAAGATATTGTTATACTCGCCATACTGAATGGGGGAATTTGGAACAATAAGAGGAAAAATGCTTTTTCTTAAGTCAATATTGATTTCTGCAGATGAGCAAAAAGGCAGAAAGAGATTTCCTGATCTAGCAAAGTATCCTCTAGGTACTACTTCCTTTCTTAAGATCTCTGGAACTATGCTTCAGTAGCTTCTGTTCTCAGATACTAATTATGCTAGCTGGAAAGAGAAGATTTGCAAAAGCTTTACAGAGCTTTTGGTCTTTACAAAGCTTTTTATTCTGCAAAATATATAGTCTTTCTAACTTCTCTTATACATGTTATGTCGGAATGCAACTTCCTTCCTTGGCCATGACAGACTTTCTGTTGAGGCCATCACTGCTGGGAAAAGTTGAGTCCCCTGTTTTATGTTTTTTGAGGACCTGGCCACAGCTGGGACTTGTGGCTGTTTTTGCTGCACAGGTTTGGCAATCTGTCCTGTTTGATATGAAATTAAAGGGCACGTGGAATATACTCCCTTTTAAAATGTGAAATACTGTTAATCAGTTAATTGGTGTATTTGTAAGGAACAGGACTTGAAATTCAGCAGGATCTGGGAGCATTGCATCTTTCAAAGGGCATCTCAGCTTCTCTGCATGTCCCTTTTATTCTTTGAAGCCATTCAAAATCTTAACTATGTATTTTCTCCTGCACCCATATTATAGACTACCAAGCTTTATCATAGAAAAAACAAGTAGCAGTTATCAACTAACACTAAGAATATGCATTTCTTTTTTTTTTTTAGGGAGAACAAGTTCTACTGGCATTTGAAGCTCGTATTTCCTCACTGTCATGCTGAGTACACTTTAAAACGGTACAGAGCTTGAAAAACAGATTTTTATAAAGTTTAAATTAATCTGCTGAAGTTGAATTGCAAAACATTTTGATCAGTTCTTATCTAGTTCTGTTATGTAAGGTAAACTCGGGAATTAATTTTAGTATTAATTAAAAGGGCTTTTAAATTTTTAAAAATATTGAAAAGTTGTATAGTCCTTTCCTCTTTGAAAGCTAACAGGCTTTCCAAATCAGTCAGAATGTTTGGTTGTTAATCCTTTTCTCTATGTAAACAGCAGCTTGTGTATTCATAATAGCAATACCCATACACCTAACATACTCTAGTCTCATGGAGCAGATGTTCAGCAAGATTTGCCATCCCTCCTTGCCTGCACTCTGGAGCTGACCTTCATATAGGGTGAAATGGTTGCATTGTTTGCTTTGTAGGAAAGCCCACAACCACATTTTGAAAAGGCTGAAAAATAAGCTTTTGTTGACAAATCTTTCTTCTTTTTTCCTAGCCTGAAGGGGGGTGAGAAATATGCCCTTGTCTGCTTCTAGAGCTGTAGAGGCAGCATGTTTCTATTGCAGGGTTAGAAGCTAGAGATGCATCTGTGTACTCCTTGTATATGCCTGTGAAATTCCAGTGCTGAAATGGAGATAAAGCTGTCGATGTCTTTGCAGTACTGGTACACATTTATGATCCTCCCATAAACTACTCAATTGTGCCACTCTAGCGTGCAAATATACAGGTTCCTCCAAGTGACTCATAATAGATTTTTGTGTACATGATGAACCATGTCTCACATATTTGATTTTTATCTCTGGTGAAAGGGTGCCTGACGATAAGACACTCACTGATATCCTTAAGCCGTACATTGATCCAGTGGAGTCAGATCCTGTAGTTTGTCAAAGGTGTGTATTGAATAACTTTTCTGCCTATTTCATCTAATGCACTAATAAAAGAAGGGAATGGTTCTGAATAAATACCTTAAATTAGCTGCACTTTTGTCTTGCAGAGCTGAGTTCCCAGTCAACAGTACATCTTTAATTCCTGTGATGAAAATCATCTAACATTCACCAACCAACAAACCCTGGGGTATAACCACCAAATTTAAACCAGGAAAAGATTAAGAAATCGACTCCTGGCATAAAGATCAAATAACTAATTCTGAAAAATGTAACCATAATTAACCTCAATCAAGGGGACAGTAAATCTTTTCTTTAGAGTAATTAGAAAGACATACTAGTAATTATAACCCTCATTTATAGGAAATACTTAGTATGTGGCAAACTGTCTTCATGAAAAAAATACATTCTTCTGGCTGTTGACATGCAAAAGATATCCATCTCTTATGGGTGATAGGAAGAAAAGTCATTGTATATCACTGTTTCTTCATCTTTACTGCATTTTTCTTTTCAGATTAAAAATCTATACAGCATCTCCTCAGTCAGATGTACAAATTTTAATGAAAATAGAAAACAGGAGCCGAAACTCTGTCAGGTAAGGTGGTTCTTCAGTTTGTGTGCTTACTGATTAAAAATAACAAAAAGAAATAACACATTTCTTAGTCTTTTCAATATTATGATTGGAGATTACATAATCTCATGAATTAAACTTCAGTGAGTAATTACTAGCTGTCTTGAAAATTATTCAGCAAAAATGCTATTTCTTTGTCTTTTACTATGTCAACATTGAAATTTCAGTGCAATTATTAAGTGTGCCTGTACCTGAGCTGCTTCAGCAGGCCATGCCAGTGTAACAGGACATAGGTTTGTGTTAAAGTGCTAAATAACTATAGACATTCATTCCCTTCTGGAAGTTCCTCTGTGGATATGTTAACCTCCCCAAGAGAGTTGAAGTGGCAGTTGAAGAGAATTGTTTTTTTAAATCACTGCAGCAAAAATTGTGTATATCAGAATCCAGTCACTGCATTTGAAATTATACATTTTTCTCAAAGTTACCAGCTCATTACTCTTCATGTTACCATATTTCTGGGTGTGGGCTTTTGTCTCCAGAATTCAGACTTGTGCAGAATTGTTTTCTTTGTTTCCAGAACAGAAAATAATCCTGAACTTTAAGGAAATAATTTTTGCTGGTTTAAATACCATTTTGAACACTCCACCCTGTTGTCATTGTTACTGGAAAGGATATGTATCAGCTTAGTATCATAGCTTATTGTGGTTGACCAGTGATTCCTAGTTAGGCATCTTAAAGTACATTCTTGTCTTCAAATGTAACAAATGTAAATAATATGCTTCCCTGAAACATGATATGTTATTTCTAAGGGCAGAATAAAGGTATATTAAAAGAATTGTAGTTGTAACTGAGCTTCCTGTTTGTGCTGTATTTTTTCCCAATAATCTTAAAAAATGTGTAATGTACTTTGAAATTCAAACCCAAACTGTTAATGATTTTGATTGATTTTTTTTTTTTTTTGCAATCATTATTTGAAATATGGTTGCAACATTTACCATCAGAGTTGCCAGCTAGAAACCTGTTGGTTTTAAGTGAATTTGAGGATACAAAACCATGGTTCTTACACGCAGGGAAAAAACATGAAAGGCCTTGGGCTGCTCAATACCCTGTGTCTGAGGGTTACAGGTGTGGGAATAATGAGTTTTCATTTGTGGACACTAAAGTTGTCAGGTACCAGCTGTTTCAGCTGAATGTTCAGAAGTCCCTGGGGCCTGATGGATTTTGTCCTGGAGTACTGAAAGACCTATTGGATGTTATGGCAAGGCCTCTCTTGATCATGTATTTAAAGGTCTTAGGAGTCTGAGGAGGTCCCTGCTGACTGGATGTCATGGTTTAGCCCAGCAGGCAGCTAAACACTGCACAGGCACTCACTCAACACCCCACATCTCCAGTGGGATGGGGAAGAGAATCAGGGGGGAAAAAAAAAAAGTAAAATTCTTGTTTTGAGAAAAGACAGTTTAATAGGACAGAAAAGTAAGGGATGATAATAATGATAAAAGAATTAGAATATACAAAACAAGTGATGCCCAATGCAGTTGCTCGCCACCCACTGCCCAGTTCCAGCCAGTTCCCAAGTAGCAGCCCTTGTCCAGCTTTGCCTTTAGTTTATACACTGACCATGTGTTTATATGTTATGGAATGTCCCTTTCGTCCAGTTGGGATCAGCTGTCCCTGCTGTGTCTTCTCCCAGCCTCTTGTGCCCCCTAGTCTACTTGCTGGTGGGGTAGTGTGAGGAGCTGAAGAGACTTTCACAGTATAAGCATTAGTCTTTCACATTTCCTTTTTTAGGAAAGAATGAAAAGTTGGTTTTGTAATAGCAGGTAAAGTTCACCTTTTGATCTTTTGAAGTGGAGTATTGTAAGTTTTGTAGAAGGCTTGGGAAAAAAAGACAGTTTAATATCAAAGTTGACTATTTCTTGTGCTCATCAGTTTTGTTGTTACTTAATCATTTTCCTCTTCTGAAGTCTCCAAAACACTTTATTATTTCACAGATTTGAGCGAGAATTCTTCATGAAGTCAAATTAACTTTAATATTCTTAAGTTTGAGACTCATCTGTATTCTCAGAATCAGCTGTGGTGGTTGATAACAAAGTTGGAGTAATTGGTATTTATCCCACTCAGAGAATGTAAAGTTTAAAGTATAAAAAGAACTGTAGAAAGTTAAAATAGAAGAGTGTTTTGACTTGAGAACTGCAGTTCCTCACTTGGAAATTATGTGAATCTCTTCATATAAGTTGGCAGAGCAGGCCCAGCTGGGGCAATGCAGACAGGTCAAGGAAACAGCATATTGGAAGAAAATTCCTCCTCTGAAAGGAAAGAACAAAGTTGGTTTGAAATTATGGGATTGCTGTGTCAGGAGTAAATCATCTGTTGACATAAGCTGTGTCTGTGCCAGCAGGCACTCTCAGTGCAGTTGTGCCAGTGTAGTTGTTGTGACAAAGGCTCTATGAGGGAATTCAGATTTTTACTGTAGTTGCATTACAGTTAAGTAAGGGAGAATTTGTTTTGATGTCTTCTCCTTTTCGTTCCCCAACCCTGGTTAAATTAATTGGGGGTGTAATGGTCCTTATTCTATAAATCAATACTTGGAGTTGCAGTGGAAGTACTCGTGACTGAAACATGACCAGCTTGCTGCTTAGTGGCCTTGAGTATGGAACAAAAGCTCTCTCACCTTTCTTTATCCACATTTCTTTAAGAGTGGGGATCTGTTAGTTTGTGTAGCCTTGGGTGCCACTGTCATTTCAGAGTAATTTCTCATCCTGTGTCTCGCCATTCTGCAAGATTTTAGGCTGTATGTTCCTGTGTGTCAAAATGCTCTTCCATCGCTTTGTGGGCAGACTGAAGGAGTGGGATTGGTGTAGGCTACTAATACATGTAAGTCTACATGAATGTTGTGTTATCCACTACTTCCATGACCACCAGAAAAATTTCTTCTCCACAAGCACGAGATACTAGAAAAGCTGTAAAAATACATTGTTAAATCAAATGTTGTTTTTAGGCTTAGCAGAACCTTTTGAAAAAAGTACTTTTCATACTTACAATTGCATATTATTGAGGAAAAGCAGTGGTGTTTCGGAGAGCATCTAAGCAGGATTATTATAGGTTATAAAACGTTAGTCTTTTAGTTTTAAGATAAGTATGCTACAGAAGGATTTTAGTATTTCCTGCAATTGTTTATGAAACAGGAGTTTGTGGTTTAGTTTTGGCTGTTTTCTGTGTTTCACAGCAAATGGCCCTTTTAGTTTGAAGGTCCTTTGTAACATGCTTTAAATTTTTTGGTCTTTTTTCTCCAAAAATTCTAATTAGCCACATAGTACAGATTTCTACTTTCTCACAGTTTTCTGCAGAACTTCAGAAAACCACTGGTGTGCAGGTATCATAGATAGCTGCCAAAGACAGTGCTTGCTTTCCTCAAGCTACATGTCTTTTATCATCAGTGGGGACAGTTCTTAGAAAGCTTTGTGATAAGCTCTTATTTCTGTCTTCTCTAAAACCAGCTTGTAAGAATTGCTTTCAGTATTAATTAGTAGCACTCCACAGTTACCTGGGGTAACAGAAAGCATAATTTCTCCTCATGTCCTCTCCTCCCTACCTGTTATCTAATGCTCTCTAACTGTTAGTTACATTTGATAGTCTTGTCATTAACTACCTATACTTTATGAGGAATCCTATGAAAGAGGATTTGAAAAAACGAGCGTTATACAATTATCTTCTTCCTTTAAAACCTTGGAAAAAATCTGCATTTGAATGGGTCAGAATAGTTTTCCATTTGGTACTGCTTGCTTCTGTCACCTGTTATGCAATATTTAGTTGGTGGTTGGTGTCCATTCTCTCCTCAGCTGTAACTATTCCAAGAAAGGTTTAACTGCTGCCTCTTGGATGATTTTTACAGTCTACATTCTTTTATAAGTAGTATTTTCTTTCTTCAGGATAAATTAGTGTCCTGACTATCTTCAGACCTTCATTTGGGATGCCTTCAAAATGACATCATATGGTAAGAGTATTGCTTTTTCCACTGAGGAAAGAAAAGATGCAATGGCTAAATTATACAACCTGGTTTGGGAAATACACGTTCTCATTTTCCTGAGGATAGCCTTATCAGGCTTTGTGTAACAAAAAAAAACCCAAACCAAAACAGCCACCAGCCCCTCTCAAAAAGAATTCCTAAATCCAACAGACCCTTGGTATTTGTCAATAGTAAGTTAATAGTCAAAAGTTGGACTTTTTTGTAACTGCAGATACTTAATGAAAAATTTATTTACTCAGCCTTATCATATAAAACAATCCTATTTCTACAAGAGAAAAAACTGCAACAAACTTAATTTACAGTAGATACTTTGGTATCTCTTTTACTGGGTTCAGTAACATCTAGCACAAATCTAGTTTAGATAGTTTACTCTTTAATCACATGCATTTAGTTTAATAGAACTAGAAAATAATGCTTTCTTAAGGATCAATGTTAAGTCTTTTGTATAGTAATGTTCTTTTTTGCCTATTCCGAATGGCGTGTGAATGTTTTTTCAGAATAAGTTGTTGTAGAGAACTTTTTGGGGATTTGAAGATAAAAGTAGACACTGACAGGATATTTAGGTGCCTGGAAAATATAGTCTGGTTGGCCTTAAGAGCTTTGCAAAGCCCACTGCTTTCAGTGGACCACACCCTTGAAGGAGCTGGAGTACAGAGTCTTACCAGATTGTATCCTGTCACTTTCCTGTTGTAAAACTCCCACACCATACAGGGATGTATATAGAATCAGTTGTAGAATTGTTTTCTGTGTCAGTAGTACTGCGGCAGCTCATGCTTCAATTACTCAGAAAGCAAAAAAATATCAAAGGAATTTTTGTGCCAGTTCCAGCGTCAAGGTGCTTCTTACTCTCTGTGGTGACACTGGCTGGTGCACATGAGAACGCTGGCGCGTTTGCCACTTTTTTCTGGTGGACCACAGAGTAGAAAATCTGCTAGACAAGTATCAGAGGTTCTTCTCTACTGAATGCCATTGCTTTATGGTGGTGAACACTTACTTT